TGTTGTTTATGTTTCTCCCTGATGCACAGCCACCGTTGTTGATTTTAATTCCCTGTAAGCCATGTCGTCACTCGCCCCTCCCTCCCTCAGACAATAGTTTCACGCCTTTTTTCAGCGCAGACGCCATAGCAGTGGGATCATGGCGCCCGCTCAGATCACCGCGGCAATTATGAGCACTATGAACACCACGTGCATTGTCCTGAAGTATATGCAGAGCCAGAACATGACAAAGCAAAACCAGGTGAGGAGGAGATTGCAGCACGGCGACGAGATTGATGAAGAAATTGACATGGACATAGACCTCTCACAAAGTACGGGCCCCAGCAATGTGCAAATCATGGTGTTAATAGGGCAGGTTCATGCTGTGGAACGCTGATTCTGAGCCCGGGAAATAATTACAGACTGGTGGGACCGCATCATGTCGCAGGTGTGGGACGATTCCCAGTGGCTGCGAAACTTTTGCATGCATAAGGGCACTTTCATGGAACCAGTGACTCTGGGAAACGTGCAGGTCATAGTGGATGGCTTTGCTGCAATGGGATTCCCTAAGTGTGGTGGGGTGAGAGACGGAACCCATATCCCTATCTTGGCACCGGAGCACCAAGCCAGCGAGTACATAAACCGAAAGGGGTACTTTTCAATGCTGCTACAAGTCCTGGTGGATCACAAGGGACGTTTCACTAATATCAACGTGGGATGGCTGGAAGAGGTACATGGCGCTCATGTCTTCAGCAACTCTGATCTGTTTCAAAAGCTGGAGGAAGGGACTTTCTTCCCGGACCAGAAAATAACTATTGGGGATGTTGAAATGCCTATAGTTATCCTTGGGGACCCAGCCTACCCCTTAATGCCATGGCTCATGAAGCCATACACAGGCTGCCTGGACAGTAGTCAGGAGCTGTTCAACTATAGGCTGAGCAAGTGCAGAATGGTGATAAATGTCCAAATGCACATTCTAAAAGCGTGCTGGTGCAGTTTACTGACTTGGATAGACCTCAGCAAAACCAATATCCCCCTTGTTATTGCTGCTTGTGGTGTGCTCCACAATATCTGTGAGAGTAAGGGGGAGACATTTATGGCGGGGTGGGAGGTTGAGGCAAGTTGCCTGGCCGCTGATTACGCGCAGCCAGACACCAGGGCGATTAGAAGAGTACAGCAGGGAACGGTGCGCATCAGAGAAACTTTGAAAACCAGTTTTGTGACTGGCCAGGCTATGGTGTGAAACTTCTGTTTGTTTCTCCTTGATGAACCCCCCAGCCCGGTTCACTCTACTTCCCTGTAAGCTAACCATCCTCCCCTCCCCACTTCGAGCACTGCTTGCAGAGGCAATAAAGTCATTGTTACTTCACATTCATGGATTCTTTATGCATTCTGCTGTGCTATGGCAGCATGGGAGGACATTTGGAGCTCCGAGAACATATCAACCTGTGTCTGCCGTTTTCTCCTAATCTTCACTAGCCTCTGCTAGAGAGAAATATTTGCAGCTGGTGGAGGAAAAGGGAGAGGTGGTTATAAAGACACATTTTAGAGAACAGGTACACTCTTTCATGTTACGTTTTGCTGTTCACATTACACAGCACATGTGCTTTTGTTACAAGGTCGCATTTTTACAGTTGTAAGCCCTATGTTTGGCAGTAAGTATTTGCAGGATCAGTCCACTAGTAATTAAATTAAAAATTCAGGATGAAATATGCAAGCCAACCACATTTTAAAACAAAACAAATGTCAGTTTGTGCAGAATTGAATGCAATGACAATCACGTTACATTTAAAATAATTTCTTTAAAAGTAAGATGCAAAGAATAAGTATTTTCTACTGGTAGTCTGGGGGCTAAATTCTTTACTAAAACTTCATTCTTTGTAAATCCATTGACTTCATCCTCATTGATTTCAAAAAGGGATTTTCAGGATGTAGGTGTAGAATTTGGCCTCAGTGTTTAAATGACATTAAATCAGTGGAGGTTTAATAAACCAAATAGTTGCACAATTTAATCTATCACACACCAGTTGTGTCACTAGCTAGAGGTTCATTAGCAATTATGTTGACAAACTCAAACTAATCTGATACTTAATATCCTGACAATTAGGGCTGTCAATTAATCACAGTTAACTCATGTGATTATTTTTGAGTTAATCTGATTAAAAAAATCAATCATGATTAAATCACACTGTTAAACAATAGAATACCAACTGAAATTTATTAAATCTTTTTGGATGTTTTTCTACATTTTCAAATATATTGATTTCTTTTACAACACAGAATACAGCATAGGGTACTCACTTTATATTATTTTTATTACAAATATTTTCACTGTAAAAATTAAAAATAGTATTTTTCAACTGACCTCATACAAGTACTGTAGTGCAATCTCTTTATAATGCAAGTTGAATTTTGTAGAATTTTCTACAAAAAATAACTGCACTCAAAAACAAAACAACGTAAAACTTTAGAGCCTACAAGTCCACTCAGTCCTACTTCTTATTCAGCCAATCTCTAAGACAAACAATTCTTTACATTTATGGGAGATACTGCTGCCTGCTTCTTATTTACAATGTTACCTGAAAGTGAGTACAGGTGTTCGCAATGCACTTTTGTAGCCAGCGTTGCAAGGTATTTACGTTCTAGATATGCTAAAAATTCGTATGCCCCTTCATGTTTTGGCCACCATTCCAGAGGACATGCTTCCATGTTGATGACACTCATTTAAAAAAAAATAATAATGTGTTAATTAAATTTGAGACTGAACTCCTTGGGGGAGAATTTTATGTCTCCTGTTCGGTTTTACCCACATTCTGCCATATATTTCATCTTATAGTAGTCTCGGATGATGACCCAGCACATGTTCATTTTAAGAACACTTTCACAGCAGATTTGACAAAAAATGCAAAGAAGATACCAACGTGAGATTTCTAAAAATAGCTACAGCACTCGACCCCAGGTTTAAGAATCTGAAGTGTC